AGGGGGATTAGGACAAGCATACACAGATGCAGTCAGTCAAGGACATATTATGAAACCAACAGGCCAAAAGTCACCCTCCTAACCCCTGCTCTGAGTTCATCTGTGTTTTTGTTTTTATCTTCTAAGTTACCCAAGGAACCTTTGCCATAAAGCAGTGTATAAACAAGCCAGAAAAAAAACACCCAGGAGATTGCTACATAGTGCTGGGCCATAAACTACAGCTGATTTATAGAAAACCTATTGGCATAGCTCAGTCTGGCTGGCTGTGCAATTCTGAGTATTGAAGTCCACCTGTTTTAGAGTTGCTGAGGTTCAGAAACAGTTAAGACAGGGAAGTTTTCAGGCTGCCTTTGGATAATTCTCAGGATTGAATCTTTGTTTTTTTTCTGCTCGTACGGGATATGCTTGACCCCTGTGCTACGGTCCCTGCCTGGCAAATAAAAGATTCCAGTCCTTATGCTCCGATTCAACAACTGAGACAGAAATATGAGACCATTTTGCTCACTGCACCAGGTGGAAACATTCCCTGCTTCCCTTTCCATTCCAGAAGATGCCCAAGTTGGATGTTTTATTTATTAAACGAATTTATACGGGCCGCCCAACTCACAATGCGGTGATTTCTATTCGAAACATGAATTTAGTGATAAATTAACAAATAAGGATTCAGAAGGAAAAGATGTGCTGGGCCCACTGATATAAAGATGGAAAGGAAAAGAGGGGAAATTCTCCAGCTCGCCAGAAGGCTCCTTACCTTTCCGTAGCCCCCTTTGCCAAGAACACGGAGCAGCTCAAAGCACTCTGGGCGGATCTTCTCAGGACCGCGGTTTACGCTCGTTTCTGAAATCTCGAATTTCTCACAATGCTCCATGCCGCTAAAAGAGAACCAACAATTTTTGTTTTTTAAAAAGCAGGCTAGCAAGGCAACCCTACCTCCGACTTAAGAGGATCCAAAAGAACTCTTTCTGCTGTAGCGCTAGCCCTTTCGAACAGAGGTCCCCAACCTTTTGGGCACCAGGGACCGGTTCCGTGGAGAGAGGTTTTTCCACGGACCGGAGGGGCGCGTGGTTTTGTGTGCTGCCTGCATCCCACAGATGGGGCTTTGCTTGTTTGTGCGGACTGGTTGCTGGCATGCCGCAGCCCGGTACCGGTCCACGGACCAGGGGTTAGGGATCCCTGCTTTGGAACATCCTGTCTCCCCGGGGTGAGGTTTGCCCCCACTCTCCTGCCCTTCCGCCAGGACCTGAAGACCAGTTAACCTGGACCCAATGGGGTAGTCCCACACTGGAAGTGGCTACTGGACTAACTAGCTGACTCCACCTTCTCCCCCCCCCCGTGCTTCCTGTTCCCCCTCCACCCAACTTTTTAATTTTAATTTTGTACTTGTCTATGGAGATTCTCAGTCATCCAGGTCACGGTTGTCCCAAAGATGCTTTTTCAAAAGACAACTGGACTTTTGTTTTTTCCTTTCGCTTCTCATCCAAGAAGAATGTGGACAACAGTCTGCATTTTGAAAGAGGGGTCAAAGATGGCATCTACATTAAGACTGAACAGCCCTCGCTCAACAGAGGGGGAGGGGTACGGCACCAGCTATCTCAACACAGTCCTTTTAGCGGTTCCAAGGTTCCACATCCATTTGCATGGTTCAGGTGGCCCTGAGGGCACAGATAAACCTCCAAGTGGCCTCAACGAGTCTCTGAAAGAGTGCTAACAACCAGATGAACGCAAAGAATATTAATCCTTCCATCCTTCACCATTCAGGCAGAACCGAAGAAGCTCCTTGGATGAGAAGTGAAATGTCTTCAAGGAAAAAAACAAAGTCCAATAGCCTTTTGAAAAAGCACCCTTGGGATATTATTGCACTTCCACCGTTTATTTGCACTGTTTTATTCCTTTGTTATTGTTTACATTTTTGTAATAATTTTTCCCCCATTTTATGATGGTAAGCCGCCTAGAGTAGCTCCATAGCAAAATGAGCAAGAAATAAATTTAACAAAGAATGAATTTCTTTTAGACCTTTTGACATGTCCACGGTTCAGCGAGAGAAACATTTCCATCCTCTCTAGTGAAACAACTTTTAAAAAGAAATTCCTTTCCCTTGCAGATAAATTCAATGTGATTAAAACCGGTTCAGGCTTGGGTTTCATCGATCCCAATGCTGCATCTCAACCCCAGGATGAAAATGAAGCAGCTCCAAGAGAGAAGGCTGGCTTTGTTATCACTTCCTCTTTATATTGAGGATGTTTCTGACTGTTGCCAACTGTGTATCCCCATCCCTGATTTTAAGTTTTAGGACTTACAGCTCATATGGACTGACTCTTCCATGATCCATACTTTCGCTTAAGTGACCCTGAAACAAAACGGTGAGAGAAAAGTAACTACATCATTGTAAACAAGAATTCTTTAGCAAGGGCAGTTAAGATTTGTTTATACATTAACTCAAGTTTTAAAGGCTGATAGCACCACAAGCCTGCAGACTCATTTTACATAATAAGCCCTGTCAGCAAAAAGATACGGCCAAAGAGAGAAGCGCCAAAGCTTGTGAATTCAGTGCACAGATTCAGCAGTTTTCAAGCAACTGTCCTATTAGCTGTGTGCAAATCCTACAAATAGCTGGAAAAAGAGTTTGAGAAAAAATATTACCAATACACTGGAGTAAATATAAATAAAAGACTGCAAGAAGACCATCCGCTATCATAAAACATTTTAATTTTAGGCTTGTGCAATTCACCCATATGGTGAAATTCTCTTCAAAACAACCTTTTCTGTATCATAAAGACGGGGATAACTCTGCAGAAATACAGTAGTCCTTGACTTGTAACCATTCGTTTAGTGACCAAAGTTACAATGGCACTGAAAAAAAGTAACTTTAGTAACTTAGGACTGTCACAGCATCACCACAGTCAGGTGATCAAAATTTGGGTGTTTGGCAACCACCGTCTATTTATGATCATTGAAGCATTACATGCGATCACTCTTTGTGACAGATTTGCTTAACCACACGATTAACAACCGCAGTGATTTGCTTAAAAACCTTGCAAAAAAGGTCGCAACTCATTTAACTCCCTTGCTTAGCGATGGAAATTCTAGTCGCAATTGTGGTCGTACGTTGAGGACCCCCTATGTGAAGAGGAAGTCACTGAAAATCTAATGGAGGTGTTCTAAAAAAACAAATTAAACATGTTGTTTAAGTCTAGATTCACAACTAACTATGCTCACAATTAAATTTGGGAGTAGATAAAATGGAACATCACAAGACTGAAAACAAAAGGGAAGAACGTGAGCATCTGTGGGTGGATCGTAACACCTATATGGATAAGAGATGAGGAAACCCTTCAAATTATAAAGCATCTATAAAAAGGAAAGCCCCAGCATGAACTCTCTTTGGGAATTTGGGGAAGTTTTTACCCCAGGCCACCCCAACGATGCCCTTGACGTGATGGCCCGTTGCCTGGAGGCCGTACGGGTCTGGATGGGGAGGAACAGACTCAGGCTCAACCCTTCCAAGACCGAGTGGCTGTGGTTGCCGGCACCTCGGCATAGCCAGCGGACACCATCGCTGTCTATAGGGGGGCGAAACCTTGGCCCCCTCAGAGAGGGTGCGCAACTTGGGAGTCCTCCTGGATCCGCGGCTGACATTGGATGACCAATTGTCGGCCGTGACCAGGGGGGCGTTTTATCAGGTTCGCCTGATTCACCAGTTGCAACCTTTTTTGGACCGGGACGCCTTGCGCACAGTCACTCATGCTCTCGTCACCTCCCGCCTGGACTACTGTAATGCTCTCTACATGGGGCTCCCTTTGAGGAGCACCCGGAGGCTTCAAATGGTCCAGAATGCGGCCGCGCGGGCGGTGTTGGGAGGGACTCGTCGCTCCCATGTAACACCGCTGCTGTGCGAGCTGCACTGGTTGCCAGTGGCCTTCCGGGTGCGCTTTAAGGTGTTAGTTACCACCTTTAAAGCGCTTCATGGCATAGGACCCGGTTATCTCCGAGACCGCCTTCTGCCGCAGATTCCCTCCCATAGACCGGTACGCTCCCACAGAGTGGGTCTCCTCAGGGTGCCGTCGGCCAAGCAATGTCNAGGGGGATTAGGACAAGCATACACAGATGCAGTCAGTCAAGGACATATTATGAAACCAACAGGCCAAAAGTCACCCTCCTAACCCCTGCTCTGAGTTCATCTGTGTTTTTGTTTTTATCTTCTAAGTTACCCAAGGAACCTTTGCCATAAAGCAGTGTATAAACAAGCCAGAAAAAAAACACCCAGGAGATTGCTACATGGTGCTGGGCCATAAACTACAGCTGATTTATAGAAAACCTATTGGCATAGCTCAGTCTGGCTGGCTGTGCAATTCCGGGTATTGAAGTCCACCTGTTTTAGAGTTGCTGAGGTTCAGAAACAGTTAAGACAGGGAAGTTTTCAGGCTGCCTTTGGATAATTCTCAGGATTGAATCTTTGTTTTTTTTCTGCTCATACGGGATATGCTTGAACCCTGTGCTACGGTCCCTGCCTGGCAAATAAAAGATTCCAGTCCTTATGGTCTGATTCAACAACTGAGACAGAAATATGAGACCATTTTGCTCACTGCACCAGGTGGAAACATTCCCTGCTTCCCTTTCCATTCCAGAAGATGCCCAAGTTGGATGTTTTATTTATTAAACGAATTTATACGGGCCGCCCAACTCACAACACAATAATTTATATTCGAAACACGAGTATAGTGATAAATTAACAAATAAGGATTCAGAAGGAAAAGATGTGCTGGGCCCACTGATGTAAAGATGGAAAGGAAAAGAGGGGAAATTCTCCAGCTCGCCAGAAGGCTCCTTACCTTTCCGTAGCCCCCTTTGCCAAGAACACGGAGCAGCTCAAAGCACTCTGGGCGGATCTTCTCAGGACCGCGGTTTACACTCGTTTCTGAAATCTCGAATTTCTCACAATGCTCCATGCCGCTAAAAGAGAACCAACCATTTTCGTTTTTTTAAAAAGCAGGCTAGCAAGGCAACCCTACCTCTGACTTAGAGGATCCAAAAGAGCTCTCTCTGCTGTAGTGCCAGCCCTTTTGGGAACCAGGGACTGGTTCTGTGGAGAGAGGTTTTTCCACGGACCAGAGGGGTGCGTGGTTTTGTGTGCTGCCTGCATCCCACGGATGGGGCTTTGCTTGTTTGTGCGGACCGGTTGCTGGCATGCCGCGGCCCAGTACCGGTCCACGGACCGGAGTTGGGGATCCCTGCTTTGGAACATCCTGTCTCCCCGGGGTGAGGTTTGCCCCCACTCTCCTGCCCTTCCGCCAGGACCTGAAGACCAGTTAACCTGGACCCAATGGGGTAGTCCCACACTGGAGGTGGCTACTGGACTAACTAGCTGACTCCACCTTCGCCCCCCCCCGTGCTTCCTGTTCCCCCTCCACCCAACTTTTTAATTTTAATTTTGTACTTGTCTATGGAGATTCTCAGTCATCCAGGTCATGGTTGTCCCAAAGGTGCTTTTTCAAAAGACAACTGGACTTTTGTTTTTTCCTTGAAGACATTTCGCTTCTTATCCAAGAAGAATGTGGACAACATTCTGCATTTTGAAAGAGGGGTCAAAGATGGCATCTACATTAAGACTGAACAGCCCTCGCTCAACAGAGGGGGAGGGGTACGGCACCAGCTATCTCAACACAATCCTTTTAGCGGTTCCAAGGTTCCACATCCATTTTCATTGTTCAGGTGGCCCTGAGGGCACAGATAAACCTCCAAGTGGCCTCAACGAGTCTCTGAAAGAGTGCTAACAACCAGATGAACGCAAAGAATATTAATCCTTCCATCCTTCACCATTCAGGCAGAACCGAAGAAGCTCCTTGGATGAGAAGTGAAATGTCTTCAAGGAAAAAAACAAAGTCCAATAGCCTTTTGAAAAAGCACCCTTGGGATATTATTGCACTTCCACCGTTTATTTGCACTGTTTTATTCCTTTGTTATTGTTTACATTTTTGTAATCATTTTTCCCCATTTTATGATGGTAAGCCGCCTAGAGTAGCTCCATGGCAAAATGAGCAAGAAATAAATTTAACAAAGAATGAATTTCTTTTAGACCTTTTGACATGTCCACGGTTCAGCGAGAGAAACATTTCCATCTTCTCTAGTGAAACAACTTTTAAAAAGAAATTCCTTTCCCTTGCAGATAAATTCAATGTGATTAAAACCGGTTCAGGCTTGGGTTTCATCGATCCCAATGCTGCATCTCAACCCCAGGATGAAAATGAAGCAGCTCCAAGAGAGAAGGCTGGCTTTGTTATCACTTCCTCTTTATATTGAGGATGTTTCTGACTGTTGCCAACTGTGTATCCCCATCCCTATTTTTAAGTTTTAGGACTTACAGCTCATATGGACTGACTCTTCCATGATCCATACTTTCGCTTAAGTGACCCTGAAACAAAACGGTGAGAGAAAAGTAACTACATCATTGTAAACAAGAATTCTCAAGTGCAGTAAGATTTGTTTATACATTAACTCAAGTTTTAAAGGCTGATAGCACCACAAGCCTGCAGACTCATTTTACATAATAAGCCCTGTCAGCAAAAAGATACGGCCACCACACTGGAGAGAAGCGCCAAAGCTTGTGAATTCAGTGCACAGATTCAGCAGTTTTCAAGCAACTGTCCTATTAGCTGTGTGCAAATCCTACAAATAGCTGGAAAAAGAGTTTGAGAAAAAATATTACCAACACACTGGAGTAAAGATAAATAAAAGACTGCAAGAAGACCATCCGCTATCATAAAACATTTTAATTTTAGGCTTGTGCAATTCACCCATATGGTGAAATTCTCTTCAAAACAACCTTTTCTGTATCATAGAGATGGGGATAACTCTGCAGAAATACAGTAGTCCTTGACTTGTAACCATTCGTTTAGTGACCACAGTTACAATGGCACTGAAAAAAAGTAACTTTAGTAACTTAGGACTGTCACAGCATCACCACAGTCAGGTGATCAAAATTTGGGTGTTTGGCAACCACCATCTATTTATGATCACTGAAGCATTGCATGCAATCACTCTTTGTGACAGATTTGCTTAACCACACGATTAACAACCGCAGTGATTTGCTTAAAAACCTTGCAAAAAAGGTCGCAACTCATTTAACTCCCTTGCTTAGCGATGGAAATTCTAGTCGCAATTGTGGTCGTAAGTTGAGGACCACCTATGTGAAGAGGAAGTCACTGAAAATCTAATGGAGGTGTTCTAAAAAAAAATTAAACATGTTGTTTAAGTCTAGATTCGCAACTAACTATGCTCACGATTAAATTTGGGGGTAGATAAAATGGAACATCACAAGATTGAAAACAAAAGGGAAGAGGAACGTGAGCATCTGTGGGTGGATCATAACACCTATATGGATAAAAGATGAGGAAACCCTTCAAATTATAAAGCATCTATAAAAAGGAAAACCCCAGCATGAACTCTCTTTGGGAATTTGGGGAAGTTTTTACCTGCTTTGTTTTAAATATTCATCTTCTTGCTTTGTAGAAATTAATAACATCTACAGCTACCGGTATGTATAGCTTTCACAAACTACAGACAGAATAGATGGTCAACTTTTTTTTTGCATTGTTTCCGCAAGAGTAGCTGTGCTAATCTGTTGTAAGAAAAGCAACAAAAAAAAATATTGTGGAATAAAGACTATCACGTGTACAGGTAGTCCTCAACTGACGGCCACAATTGAGTCCAAAATTTTTGTTGTTAAGCGAATCACTGCAGCGGTTAAGATAGTAACACCGTTGTTAAGTGGATCTGGCTTCCCCATTGACTTTGTCAGCAGGTCGCAAAAGGGGATCGCACGACCCTGGGACACTGCAAGCGTCATAAATATGAGACAGTTGCCAAGCATCTGAACTTTGATCATATGCCCATGGAGAAGATACAACGTAAGTCCCTTTTTTCAGTGCTGTTGTAACTTTGAACAGACACTAAATGGACTGTTGTAAGTCGAGGACTACAAGTAGTCCTCGACTTACAAACATTCGTTTAGTGACTGTTCAAAGCTACAACGGCATTGAAAAAAGTCTTTACACTTATGACTATTGCAGCAACCTCAGTCATGTGATCAAAATTCTTGTGCCTGGCAACTGGCATGCATTTATGATAGTTGCAGCATCCCAAATGGGATTGCCATTTGCCAGTTTTCGACCAGACAATAGGGAGAGCTGGATTAGCTTAACGACCACACAATTCACTTAACTGCAATGATTCATTTAACAACAGTGGCAAAAAAGTTGTAACATCAGGGCGACTCACTTAACGACCACCTTGCTTAGCAATGGAAATTTTAGTCCCAATGGTGGTCATAAGTCAAGGACTACCTGTATAAAAGAAAATTTGTTTAATTAATCAATTGATCAATGCAAGTAAACAGCTATATGTGGTAGTTTTCGCCCATAAGGAATTTGCTGTTTTTGATAAAACAGATTAACACAGCTACCATTCTGGAAACAGTCCAAAAAAGTTGATCATTCTTTCTGCAATCTGTGAAAACCACACCCACCATAGAGAAGATATAAGTAAAATCAACAAGTTAGAAACTCATTAATATTCTCTATAGATGGACTACAGGACTGGGTTCATAATCCACCACAGCCTACAATCAGCAAATAATACAAGCATCATGAAAGATCACATTAGGTAACTTTTTCATTAGAGATACAGAAATCAGAAAGGGATGTATGCAATACTTTCCCCAATCACCTTCTTAGATTTCATTCAATATAAGAAATATTTCACTTTGGTTCATTCTATTGTATGACTACTAGCACCGCCACATTCCTATACATTTCAGTAATTAGCAGGAATGCAAAAATCCAGTAATTCCTAAAAATAAATAAAAACCACAAAACTGAGAATCCACATGTGTTAAAAAAAAAAAAAGAGGCAAAATGCAGGGAGAATGTGGAGACTCTGAAGTTTAGCACAAATATTTGTGTTCCTGGTTTGTATTTACATCTAGATGACTCTTTGTTTACACATTGACTCAAGGTAGCAACTACAATGCCTACATCAATCCTGGATAACTAACTAATAAATTGTTTATGTCTGTGAGATCAAGAGTTAAAAGATTATGCAATCCTGACATGAGTTAAAGATTATGACGGGCAAGTATGAAATTTTTTCACTCTGCTAGAGAGAAGTTCCCTGCAGATGGGCTCCAGCACAAGAAGCTCAGAAGACTAAAACTTTGGTCTTGGTGATCGACCCTGATTGGATCCTGCAACATTGTTCTGGGGACATGTAGATTTGCCTTCATTGGTGGAAGATTTTCAAGTGTAAAAAATTCAGCTACAGTGCACAGAAAAGCCAATTCTACAATTGCTTCTGCATGCCACTGGTAATGAGCATAAAGCAACCTTTGCAATTAGGCCACGATCATGAGCCACCTCTTAAAGTGTACGTGTTTAGAGGCCTTTAATAACATGTTGAATCTGTAATGCCATAGTCAGCAACCTTCAACCTGCAGGCAGCCCCCTCAAATTTCTACACAAGCGTACCACTGAAATTTTCAACACACTGCAAAACCTCTGAGGCAGTTTCCCACTGTTTTTCCAAGGAAAAGGGCACATAAGC